GGAGCGCGGGCACTAATTTAGCGCGGGCACTTATTTTGTGAGCGCGCTCAAGCCAGTTACTGTGTGGTAAGGTGAGGCACAGATGAGCTCTGCCTCACCTCAGAATGCGTCACCTCACAGAAACTGGCTGGAAAGCGGGCCCTAAGCGCATGCCTGTTACCATCTCACTGTTAGTCACCAATGTAATGTTTGTAGATCCCTTTATTACATTTATCCTCGCCATCCATAGTCTCTAAATAACTTATTTCACGTATATGATATTTAGGCTCGCCGTACACGGCAATGAAAAAAGCACCAGGGGAGGCAGCCATAACCTCTGCCGCACTGAAGGGGGCGCACGTGAGCCCACAGGTCCTTGTTGCTACTGTTATTCTACGCAGAGACGGTATAGACGCGAACAACAAACTAGACTTTTGAAACTAGAGGAAGATAAGGAGGACTTTTACAAAAAAGTAATAGAGATTGTTGTCCAGAAGGATAGCATGGACTTCATCTTCAAGTCAAGGTAAGACCACATTGGTAATGAAAATTGGTTCTAAGAAAGAAAAATCCAATATTTAGATTGTGGGTATCCTTTTGTTGAACGGTCTGTTTAAAATGAATCGAAACATCAAACCAAAAAAGCTTTTGAAAATAACAGAATATTTCGATTAAGGTCAGAATATAATATTTGTAAATCTGACTCTGAAAGAGTCAGTGCCTCACCATCCATGAACCTCACCGCACGTCACTGCTAGGTTCCATACTAGAGGCAAATCTCTCCTGTGACAAAATGGCATCCAATGTAATCAAAAAAGTCAACCAACGAACTAGATTCTTGTACCGGATCTCCTCTCTGGTAAACAAGAATACCCTGAAGACTCTGGCAGGAGCACTCATTCAAGGGTACTTCGACTATGCTTGCACCTCATGGTACCAAAGCACCTCAAAGGCGCTAAAAACTAAATTACAAACATCACAAAACAAACTGGTCAGACTACTGCTTGACCTTACTACTAGAACCCACCTCACCTCTGCCCACTTTGACAACCTAGAATGGCTTAGAGTAGACGACAGAGTACAGCAACTTGCAATGGGCCTGGTCTACAAGATACACTACACCACTAAGGTACCCACATGTCAAAATACTTCCCAAAGGTCAGTGAATACCACGACCACAACACCAGAGGGAGCTCCACAAATCATGTTAAACCCAGATTTGGCTCAAACAAGGGACGAAACACGTTTCGCAATTATGCCACAACAATGTGGAACACCCTACCCACAGCTGTAAAGGAATGTGAATCACTACCCTCCTTCAAAACCTCTCTAAAAGAGCACCTACGGGAGACTGCAATTCGAAACTGGCCCCTGTAAATGTCCAAACCTAACCCCCTACAATATACAGTTTCCCACACCCCCCCAATGTATATACTCTCTTTTTAGACTCTTTTTAGACTCACAAACAGTACTGTATATTTGTAGATCTGGTATGTCATAAATGTCTAGATGTAACAGTACTGTCTATCTGTATGTCATGTATGTCATATATGTTATGGTGAATTAAAATGGGAGACCCTAATGTAAACAAGACGGAAGTCTTTATCTGGTCTGCATCCCCTTAACAATTGTGTGTATTGAGCTGTACTTTATTGTACCCATTCTGCAATCTGTTAATAAAATGTTCAGTCAATCAATCAATCAATCAAAGAGTGTATTACCACATGTTGGGGAATATTTTACAAGGCCCATAACTTTGACCCAGTTTATCAGTTCAAACTGTCCTGACTGAGCACACGCACCTCATAACCTTGGCTGCTGTGCTCTCAGTGTTCTGTCTCCCTGTTCCTGCCTGTTGGCGTCAGCTGATAGAGGTGTTATGATTTTATCTTGTTATGCAGCATGTTGATGATGCTCTCGGAACTAGCTAAATACATGGGTCTGGGGTAGAGTTCTTCAGAATTGACGTGGCAACTCTACCGTGCAGTCAGATCGTGGCTGCTGTGACTTGTGATGTGAATTCTCCGGCCGAAGCTCCAAATAAACCATCAGTGTTTGACATCAAAGCTCCTGCTCTTCCCGTGTCTCTTTCCTGAGTCGGTGACTTCCACTGCATTGCTACACAGAAGTTTCCCTTACACCACACACTGTCCCTTACTTGCAATAAAATGCATTCATGACATGTCAGTCCTTGGAACTTCACCTGGTACTCTGGTGATATCCAAATGAAGGTCTAGGATATGCTGTATTACAAATATGTTGTATTGAAAGTAAACAACAGTTTGCGGGTATAATCTCTTCTCTCTATTCAAATCTATGTAAAAAGTTTTTAGACTGTGAATTAAAAACTCTAAGGAGACATATCATCTCTTAATATGTGGTCCAGTACGTTAGGAAACAAATTATAATAAACTATTAGTTTGGGGGTTTGGGTACATTTTTGGCCTGTTAATCCTTCAACTTTATTTAGAGCTAACTTATTGTTGCAGATAGCCAAGGACATTTCCATAAATGTACACAAAATCAGGACGAGGTCACATGCATTTATTCCTGTAAATCTTTACATGACAGCCAGATGTATTTGACCTTATCTTGTAACCATTACTTGCTTTAACTGTAATAGTGATAAAATGAAGGGCACACCCTTTCCTCATAACATAATAGGCTTTACATTGTATTTTTTTTATTGCAGCCGTAGAGACCATTTCATCGATAGACTACTAGAAGATACTTTTAGTTATTTTCCGTTCTACTTTGGATGGAATTTTTTTTTTAACAAAAAGGAAAAACATGTGTTTATCTGTCCTTCTTTCCCCACTGGTCCACATCATTACAATACTTGCACCTGCCCACATATAAAAAGCAGTTTAGACAGGTGATTTCCCTGTACATGACATAGAAATCAGCCATTTCTATATAATCAACCTTTAAAAAAAATCAGGTTTCTCTTAAACCCAAAGACCATTATTTAACCTATTTAAGTGTAATTACTCTTGAAAACAAATGGATGGCAACAAGGTCATAGTAATCATGTAGGTTATGCTTAGACACACACACACACACACACACACACACACACATACACCCACACGCACACACATACACCAATCATGTTCACCTCAACGGGGAGGAGCCTCGGGGCAATCAGTGGGAGAAAGGAGAGGAGAATGGGGGAGGATAGAGAAAGGAGGGTGAGAGGGAGGGAGGGACCGAGGGACAGAGGGTTGAAGTCACGCACAAGGAGAAGCAGAGCGTACAGCGTGAATGCCTGCAGGGCTTTGCTCAGATAAAGAAAAGAGTTTACATGGATACTTGAAAAATAAATAAAAATGAAGCTACATTAAACACAAGATCTTGTAAGGATGTTTCAGGGAGACAGACATTTACTGTCTATAAATGTGAAATGTATGAAAATATAAAGTATTCATAATAGCATAGTCTACGTATCACATGGTGTTCCAATTTTGGACATTCACCACCTGTAAAATACATTTCTCAAACCTTCAGCTACAACCTCCTCCTGAAAAAGGCCCTGTCGTATCAGCTGGGCATCAGATGTTGCGGTGCCGTTGATATATTGTCATGTCTCACTGTGGCAGTTACTATCTAAGGGCTTTGTGCCTGAATTAATGTCCTCGCCACTCTGGTACTGACACCGTGAGTCAGCCCCTGCACACAGCTCTGTGGTGATGGATTACACACCTGCAGCCATAGGGACTGCTGGGACTTCTGCTCAACACACAGGAAATACTCGCTCCCCTCCTAATCCGGACATGGAGACCAGTGGACCGAATCTCCTCACCCATGTGAAACACAATTTAAAGAGTGAACATGCATAAGTATCTTATCTTTTAGGATAAGCAATATTCCACAGAAAGTAGTGGGATCCTTCCATTAGTCCAAGTCGCACACATTACCCAAATTCAAGCCATGATTTTAATGTGTTTATGTACATATAAAGTGTAAGGAGCCATTTAAAGCCAATTGCAGGAGGCCAGACCACCACAACAAGGAACTCCTCTTCGAAAACATATATTATACATTGATGTATGTTAGTTTGCCACTCTCTTAGAATATGTCCACTTACTCGTTGTTTCTTTGAGATGAATTGATTCGAACTAAGCACTTAAAATCATGTGACACTCTTAAGAGCATGGGGACTATTGCTTAGTTATTTGAAGGTGTACTATATTGATTCAGTCTGTGTTTCACTAAGCTGAAAGTTAAAATAAGTGCATCAAATATGTGACTTATAGGGAATAAAGTGGCAAAATTAATCATTCTACATTAACTATAATACGACAGGACAGTGTCTTTACATTATACACTTCCCGGGCAATTTAAATTCCAGTTAGTAACAATTTTCTGTTATAAATTTGGCACAAGAGTGTAACAGTTAATACTGTGGGGAGCAACAGATAGCAAGCTGTACCCAGCATGCTGTTCAGCACTGAAACACAGAAAGCACACCAGGCCAGCAGCAAAGTGCAAACATTTATACATATAGTATCCTTCTATCTAAGATTGATATTAAAGTAACATGTCCGCCACTGGAAAAACTGATAACTCGTCTTTAATTAAATGTATTATGTCTACAAATGTCACATTACTGTATGAGGTTAGTTTAAAGCAATAATATTAAGTTGAACCTAATTTTCTTTTACTTATTATTATTGCTTTCAACTAACCTTATAATTGTAATATTGAGAGTTTATCAGTCTGTGGCTATAAGTATGGTTTTATTGTCTCGTGCTTTTACATTTGTTTTGTTGTCTCATCGGTTTTGTCTAAATGTATTTATGCTGCTTTTTATATATTTATTGATGTACTGTACTTTGGTCAACTCTGTTGTTTTTAAATGTGCTGTATAGATCAAGTTGGATTAGATTGGATTATAAAGTTATGTGAAATCTGTTGACATAACACATTTAATCAAAGTTAACGTTTCAGTATTTTCAGTGTGTTAGCACAAGTACATGTGTGCACATTCACTACTCACACACACACACAGGGTCCCTTACCTAGCCATCCCGAGCTGGAGTTGGGCACACACATGTCTGTCTCTGCGCTGGGCAGCACAAAGCCCACCACGAACACCTCCACCCCGTCTGACATGAGCGCCAGCCCGAGCACCAGGAACAGCTGCCACTGGAACCTCCCGTGGCCACACTCCTGGATGATCAGCTCGTATTGTTGGGCCAGCTCCTCCTCATCCGCCTGCCTCTCCTCCTCCAGACCCTTGCGGTCCCTTGAGGCGTCAGACATGGGTTGTCCCAGTGCCACCTGGCCTTCCTTCTGCTTCCTATCCGAGGGGATCCCCTGGTACTCGCCCTCGTAGATCTCATCCTCGTCATCGTGGCCCTCTGTAGCATCGCTGGAGCCCTCCTCGTTGTCATGGTTGCCCTCTCCGCCCTGCCTCGGCGGGTTCCGGTAGAAATCCTCATCTTCGTCCTCGTCGTCCTCGAATCGGCTGTAGTTGTGGTGGGACGAGTACCCGTCTGTGGCGCGGTCCACCACCTTGTTGACTTTCTTTTTTGCATGCCGCTTGGCCTCCTTGACAATGTCCTTGGCCCCCTTAGACAGGGAAGTCCTGTTATTGTAAGTTTCCTCCATTCTGGCTCCACCAGCAGGTCTGCACGGGGTTCAGGGGATACTTAGAAGTACAATAAAGAGGCAAGAGGGGTGAGTTTACGCTGGTGGGGGAATTTTCTGGAACGGTGAGATCAGTGGGTGTTGAGATGCAGCCGGGAAGAAAACTCTTGAGTCCGCAGTCACCACAGGAGATAACCCACAATGGCTGTGGCAGTCATCGGCCAGGCTGAGAGAGATGGGGCAAGAGACAGACAGATAAAAAATAGAGAAAGCAAACAGGAGGAAGGACAGAGGAGAGAGCAGAGAGAAAAGAGGGAGATGTTTATCAGATAGTGCTTGTAACTCATGTCTCCCTCTGTACTTTCATAACTATTCCAGTCTAACAGGTGACACCCCACTGACAGCACTCCCCTCTTTAATCAGTCCCTCACCATTCTCCCAGGCCGTTTAATCATTACGAGTGATGTGTGGAAAAAAAGCATTGCCTGAAGAGCCTTCAGTTTTTATTCAAAATGAATATTACATTTCATGGGGCGCTCTCCCTTTTCTATATTTTATAAGTTGGACTTAAAGGGATGAGCATTTTAAACAGAGATGCTGAATCTGTTGACTCATGATCAGCTCTGAGAAAAGAGGCTAATAAACAAGGCTGTGCCAGAAATCAATTTGCCCCCAATAAAGAGCTGGTCTATTATAATGAGAGTGGCGATCCAACCAGAACGGCACTGTCATATTTAATCCTTTCAAAGAAAGGAGAAATGGTCGTGAGTGGATACGTACTAAATGCACAATCAGACACAGGCACATTGTACACACACAGCTGTTCTCTAAGGCCCCTGTTTTTGTAAAGTCAGGTTTCTATAACACATAAAATAGGTAATGCATACTTGCAAAAAGGACACGTTAGAAAACACCCATGCGATTCACAAACAGTATGTGTGCACGATGGGGAAGCCCTTTCCCATCAAACCAGGCCAGTGCTGATGGGAGGGAGACCCCAGCATAAGAGTGTGAATGATGTAACATGATTTCATGTCAGTGTTCAAACTGTGATTCACAATTCATCATCACTTGCCTCCACAGGCTCACTTGGGAGAGTTATTCGATAGCATGTCACGACTCAAAGGCACAGCCATTATTAAAACAAACATGATTGTGAGATTTAGTCATTTAAATGATAGAACTCTTAAATTACTCATGTTTTATTTAACATCTCAAGATAAGAATGCATACTTAGGAGAAGGGTGGTGATGGTCCAAGCTGTCCAGTGTGTGTGTGTGTGTGTGTGTGTGTGTGTGTGTGTGTGTGTGTGTGTGTGTGTGTGTGTGTGTGTGTGTGTGTGTGTGTGTGTGTGTGTGTGGTGTGTGTGTGTGTGTGTGTGTGTGTGTGTGTGTGTGTGTGTGTGGTTCCCATGTGTCTAGGAGCTGCTCACCACCGCCTCTAATGAACACTGAAGTCTTGTCAGGAGAACACAAATCACAGAGCCAGCTCCAGCTCCCATAATGCAATTTTACTGGGTAAAATGACACTGCTGATTCAAGGTGACTCTCCTAATCCTTTTTGGCTTATTGGATGCCTTCTGTGCTTCTGAGCGCACTCCTTTACACATTGACTGGTCATTTTTAATACCTCCGTTGACACCTGTGCTGCCTCAGACATTGTCCTTAAGATGATTCATTACCACAAATTACAAAGGGTAACTGTATAATAATATCCAGTGCAGTCGATTGATATCCGGCATGAGTCATACAATAACAACAATTCTCCAAACAATTATTTTCTATTGACTGTATCTTCAAATAAAATTCATTTCAATGCCTACGTAGACATGAGTTAAAGGATGTAACTGAAATGAGGCTATTTATCATTTTGGGATCAGGTCATGTTGGCTATCACACATCATTTTCATCTAAAACTAGCAAGTGGGCATACACACACCGGCAAAAAGGGGATACATCCTGTCTGTCAGATAATCAATGGAGTGTATAGTGAGCCGGCTGTCACTGGTGATGAAGCTCAGACGACACCCGGGCACACAGCGTCCAACCTGCACCTGACCGCAGCTGACAAGACCCCGACAGTGCAGACAGCGAAGGCAACGTGAGCAATCACAATCAAAGTGGGTAAACTCTCCCAAACAGACTAATCTCTGTGTTGATGTCTCTGAACCATTTATTTCCTCTTGCATCTCCTTTAATGTTTGCTTCTCTTCAGAATCTAGTGTTTACATTGATGCCTGTTTGTCAGGAAATGTTCATTTTTACATTTAACATCATCTGTTCATTTGCAAAAGCACTCCTTTCCAACTTACTGTCTACTCCCAAATAGCGACAACAATGCACAATATATCCCTTCGTACCTAGTTGTAGCTATATAACCTTTACCTCAAGCCTATGTCCAATTTACAGGATCAATACTTCCCTTCAAAGCAACCAAACTCCTTAAATTTGATTGTATGTTTCTATTGATAAAAATCCAACATGTTGATGTGGAATATGTATTGTAACATAAAGAAGCTGCAGCCATACATTGTCCTGCAGGGCAGAGAATAAAAGGATTTGATAAAGTGTGTATGTTGCTGTGAACCATGGCTGAAAATAGGCCTTGCTCTGGTAACACCCCTGTCTGCATGATGGATAGCGGCCTTACTTTCCTTCAACCTCTTTAGAATACTAAAAAAACACTAGGTCAAGTATCACTTTGCCCCAAATGTCCCCATGCATGAACAAAAAGTCCACTAAAGGGATTAGAGTTACAAAAGAGTTTTGCACCATCCAAGTAAAGGCAAGTACATTTGAGACATTTTTAAAATGTATAGTGTGTGCTTCACCAACTCAGTACATTTTAACACACCTCTTCATTGCTTATCACAGTATAAACTGCTAATGAGCATTTCGAAAAAAACGTTTTGAATAATCACACTACATAAGATTTTCATGATGGAGGTAATGAACACCCTTAGTCTGAAGAACTGTAAAAACAAAACGAGGCAATTATAAGCACAGAAAGGGCATCCCTAAGGCAATAGATTTGTCAAAAGGATGGGTGTCATTTTTGGTGCTGATTTACCTCGTGTCCAACAGTCATCAATGAGAAGGGTATGGGCTAGTTGTTGGAATAATAAGTACACAATTAATTCAGGTCATGTAATTTAAGGTTGCTTGACCAGAAACACATTTTTCTTTTGTTGCAAGAAATGGATAATCCATAGTGCCTTTCTGGCTGGGTGCAATCCACCAGTCCAGACATTGGCCCTTTCACAGTACCAAAACAAGATATAAGAAAAAACAATGAGCACAGCTGAGGGCTTCCTATTTTTTTTCTTTTTTACAATTATTACTTTTGCAATAAAATGGCAATTTTCTTTATGCCAATTTTTAAATGTCATGTACATTGAACCCATTTTAGAGTTTCTTAGCTCAAAACCTCAAATACTTTCCATCTCCGTCAGGTTTGACTTGTCAGTGTCCTGCCCTTTCAAAGACATGCCTGGCACAGTGTCTTGGTGGCCGGTTTGTTCTATTAGCATCAGAAGTCCAATCTCTAAGTGGGCAGAGCCGCATGTAATCCCATCAAAACGGTGAGCCCATGACCTCATCTGGAAGGCAGAGGCACAGCCAGCCTGGGACATCTTCGGTTAGGAGATTTCATCAAGCACTGATGCCATTACTGACTGAGTGGGGGGGGGGGACGAGGGAGAGGTGGAGGGGGAATCAAAAGTATTAATGAGGGAATACATGGAGGCTTTGCAAAAGAACGTCTAAAGAGGACTAAAGTGGTTGTTTCCGCAAATGGACGGAATAAAAAGATTAGAAAATATATATTTTCAAAGAACCTAAACCTTTCACCTCTCACCAAGAGCCAGTGCTGGCCCCCCACGATATAATTCATGTTACATCATACAGATTCACAAATCAGCTGCAGGAAGATGATGGCTGCCTCTCTTACCAAGCTAGTATTGGCTTCAATCACTTATGTGCCCATCCTAGCCAATGAGAGAGGATTCCCCTATGTTTGTATTCATTATGTCTCAATACTTAAGTGAAAATAATAAAGGCCATATACTCTGGATACAAAGGACTGTATCTATTTAAAGTGTATATCTGTACATTTGCACAGACTGAAAGAAAACACATTTTGGTGAAAACACGTCCCATCCCACCCTCAAGATTCAAAAAGAGAAAATGGTGCCGTCTCTTCTGCTTTTTTTTTAGCATCAGGCTGATCTTCTTGGTAAACATATAGTCTCCCTGCCTTGACAGACCTCACTGCTGACACAATATAGTGCTTACATAGCAGATAAAAAACATAATGTGCCACCACCACAGTCTGGTGCAGATCTTACACTTGGGGTCGCAGTGACGCAATAACACGATGAGGCCAGCCAGGCATGCAAGATGCAGCACATTTACCGGTGATTTCTTAGCATTTGGTCAAAACGTTTTATGTGATGCACAAATATACACTAGTGTGCATCACATAAAACGGTCTGACCAAATGCTAAGAAATCACCAGTAAATGTACACCTCACCAATTCTGGCAGACATGAGGATGGTAAGGGTTTTTTTGGTGTGATGTAAACTATGTTTTTGGGTTTAGCTTGCCCCTAAAATAATGACTATTATCTGGTATTTCTCATTATGCCTGCACACTTAGATAACAACACTAAAATATGCAGACAGTTTGGTAAAGCTCTCATATCTGCTACATTGTCACTGGCTCAGCGTACATTGAGTCCTTTCTTCCTGTCAACTGTGAATCACTGGGAGAGAAAATGTCCTCCTCTTAAAAAAGCCTGTGCTGCCTAAACTTTAGATGGACTAACAAATGTGGGCGCTTGATATGGAGATGTTATTGAATGCAGATGAGGAGCATTTTGAATTACGATGAGATTCTTGGTTATCGTGGCAGAAAAACGACGATAAGAAATGGGCACCAGGAATGAATTCTGCAACCTGCAATCACTGCTTACACTTTTCATTGATGGCCCCGTCAGTGTTAACCCAGCAGGACTACTACAGCAGCCTTCAGAGTGCAAACAAAGCACTTTGCCACGGATTTCCAGTTCAACGGTTGTGTGCCTATATCAATCGCTCACTGCCTCTTGAGGTGCAATTCACGGATGAGTCAGTTGCCTGCTCCCGCATTCTTTCCTCTTCTTGGTGGCAGTGCAGAGTGCTTTAACTGCCCCAGGGCTGGTGGCTGGATGGCACTACAGCATGCACAGTCTACAGCCAACAACTCAACACTCTGCTCGTGGCAAGGATTTCACTATAAACATGCTGGTTGATAAAAAAAAATGGGTAAACCATGAGTTCCATTCAGTGATTATACTAGACCAAATTGCCAACTGAAGGTTACAAACAACATTTAAAATAGGAAATTAACTTACAGACAAAATTATTGTAGCTTAAATTAGATATTTTAAAGAATTTGTGTCACCCTTAATGCTACATTTTTACAATTAAAAGGGTACAGAAACTGGAATTTAAACTCCACTACATCCCTAATGTATATGGGGCAGTTTTTTTCTTGCTTGGTTGTTGCCTGCTTTCCTAATGATTTCTCTACTTTTGCAGGAGGCATGGACTCAGTTTAGTGCTCCCTCTGAGAAACAACACATGCCTGGAAACCATGCCAACTTTTAACAAAATATTCACAAACTTATAAATAAATAATGAGGCGTAGTCCCAGTTTAGATGTTAGTTATAGATATCATAAGAAATAAGCCAACAACCTAAAAAAACGACTTGTAAATCTTAATAAAGCTGATCATAAAACAGTTTTATTGAAAATACTCGATTTAACTCGGAAACACAGTCAGCGTCTTTTTTAAGGGAAAAAGTAGTAATTTCTTACCGTAATTTATGGCGAGAAGAGAGAACTGGGCAGGTAGTTACCCATTGCATCAGACTCCGCTTTCGTTTTATAGGAAAGAAAATCTCTTTTTTTGTTACTGTAAAATAGGATGAGAGGCAATTGCCAGCGCACGACAGTGAGGTTTTTTTTTCGCGATGCAGTCCTCCCTCGCTGCAGTACTTCAGGAAAGGAGAGAGCGAGAGAGGGAGAAGGTGCGAGGGAGAGAGATAGGGAGGGATGGAGAGAGGGAGACGGGGGGTGTAATCAATGATTGTACTTCATTGAGTGATGCGGGTAATAATTCCGTCTGATGGAACAATCTAGTTAGGTGACTGAATGACGTGGAACACTGCAACGCATGAATGCTAAAACAGATAAGACATTTCTGTAATTAAACAGGCAGTGTTTCGTCCATTCTACATGGAGGAAACAACACTAGGGTGTGGATGGGAACAACGAGAATTAGTGTAGGGGAAGTGTTAGTACGCTACATTTTGCTTCAGGGAAAAAGTTGTTATTCTAGGCAAAAACTGCTGCGTAGTTGAAAAGTTTTCGCACCGTAGGTTTCATTCGAATTTGTTTGCAATTCAGTGTATTTAATCTTTAGTTTTATTAGCTGGTCATACCTGCTCTTAAATAAGTGGAGCTGTCTGAGACCTCACCATGCTTTGCAGAGTCTGGAGACGCAGAACGTTGCATCCATAGACTGTAGGTTGCATCTCAACCACTGGTTCTGTCCAGGTTTTGTCCGTGGTGCTGACCGGCACCTGAACGTCTCATCGCGCCAGGTTTGGTAGCTGATGCCTTAAAGAACATTACACATTTGCCAGTTCTGTAAAAAAACAAAAAACAGGTGCATCATATTTAAGTCCTTCCAGATTATACCCTAAATGAAATTCAAACATAATTGTCTGCCCTTAAAATAAGGACTGTTTTATGTATTGTCACAAATATGTGCATAGCCAACATGACCTTGTTTTAATGGCATACAATAAAAACAAGGTCATTTAATGGTATAAAATAAAACCCTTGAGACTGATTTGAGGCATCCTACTAAGACTACATTATATAAACCTAATACAGAGTAAGGCTTTGTATTAGTAATATGTAGCAAGTCTTGCCATAAACCAGAGGACAAATAATAATAAGAGACCTTAAGCCATGAGCCTGAATTCAGACCCTTCAATAAAAAAATTTGTTCAAAAAACATTATCTTTAGAAATACCTTTTATATATACAGTGGTTAGAGACCTTCTATCATCACAGGCCACAGGTGAATGTGTTGGTATGACTCCTGTATACATGTACAATTATTTGTATTAGTGTGCCACCCTTGCAATATTCTGAATTCATATAAAGTAGACTATTTTGTGTTTTACTCCATTGCATAATTAATTTCACATCCTAAAGTAGCCTGTAAAGAAAATAAAGTCCTTGTTTTTCATTTTTAACACAGCAAAACACTCTTTTTATGCCCAAAAATATTGAGTTATACTCTTGAGAAACACTACACAAATATTATACAATCCTGTAACAACAATTGCATAACCAAACACAGGCTCTAAGAGATAAGTAGGCTCTTTAGATGAAGTGTTTGACAGTTACTGCCTGTGTGCCTGCTCTGTCAAACCCTAACGCTTCTGAAACCTGTTAGTGGTTCCTGGACGAAGAGAGGGCGCGAAAAAAAGGAGATGGCGGTCTGATGCAAGCACTGGGACATTCAGCCTTTCAGTATTCACATCATTAAAGCCTGCAAACTGCACCGGCACAACCAGTGAGTCTCGGTCCGCTGGAGATATAACCACCAGCAAGCTCTTTGATGTATTACACTGCATCTATTCTGCTCCCTTATTCTCAATTTTAAAATGAAAACTAGATCTCGAGCACTCCATGTGAAAATGCTTAACATGTAGGACATACAGTAAACAGTGCAGCCTGTGTGTTTTTGCTTACCGAGTATAAACACTGAAACATGGCTTTGACGCTGGTTGTACATCATAATCACAACAAAGGATACTAAATAGGATTGTAAATGATGCATATAGTGTACACAAAGACCCACACAATACAAAAGTGTGCAAGGGCACACACACGCAAGTAAATAGAAGGAAAGGCATCTATATTTATCCTCTGAATTTGATGATTCACATAGCAGTGACCTAGGGCTTGGGACACTCTTTGCTTTTGATTCAGAGTTGGGAGACTAACACCCCTCAAGCCATAAGACTCCATTTACTACTGCTGTAGAGCTGAGGAGCACTTAGCTTAATGTACGGGACAGTAGAATGACCCTCACACACACACACACACACACACACACACACACACACACACACACACACACACACACACACACACAAGCACGCACACACACACTGCGCATGCCAAAATGTTCCCCCTCTCTTTTGTTGCAGGACTCTTTGTCATATAAACATGCACACAAGCAAGAAAGATGATCATGAATTTAAGTGTATTTTTATCATCGTAAAAAGCACAATACGTTTGATATGCATGTCAAGCCTGCAGGATGGATACTGACATGTAAGAAGAATAGCTGTTGAGGTCATGAATTTACATGCCACAGTAAATGTATATTGGTGGTATGTAATAAAAAAAGTAACCATGTTGGAATCCCATAAAGCTTGGCTGGCCGAACAACTTACTATGCCTGACAATCTATCGCATCTTTGCTGCATGTATTACAAAATATATACTATTTATGCAATGCATGTGTGTCCCCTACTGGATTTAGTTTTTTGAATCTCCTTTTTTTAATATGTACTCTTCTGCTGAGACGTGTAAATATAATACCTGTGGTGCCAGCTTTCCTTAAGAAATGATAACAGGTGGAGGTAGACTGCGACTGCATGCTGCTTATCGTCATCCAGATTATAAGAAACGGATGTGGACACTGATGGTAATTGTTTCTGCCCTGTGTAGATAGAGGCTCGGGCTAACTGATTTAGTCTCTGTCTTTCCTCTTAGCCTCCACTGCTCCTCCGCACTAACATGGCTGACCACTTGGATGGAGTCAGCATTTCTCAAACTATGGAATAAAGACAAAATATATGCATCCTTGTTGTCTTTTACCTGGTTTGTAATACTATCTTTGTGGGAACAATGCAGCCATGATGCATTTATAATTGTGGGCAAATTCAGTACACAAGCATTCCTAAAGCAAAACAAAAGGACACTGGTGTCACTGATAGAGAGATGTGATGGATTAGAGAGGCCCAAGGGGGAAGTCCTGGTCCATCAAAATGTAATGAAAACTAATTTGGAAACAGCAGGCAGCTATGAATAACACCAAGATGAGTTTTGGTAACATTGTGTTCAGTGAGAGGTCATCATTGTCTCATATGAGAGAAAAATGGGTTGATAACATTACGATTGATGATAGCACATTAGTTGTTGTCTTCAGGAGTTATGGCTGTCTGTAAACACGTCTGACTGAAAATCGATCAAGGGCAGAAACAATTTGACACCAAGTCTGTAATCTAGTTTCACAACTGGAACGCATACAATAAAATTACACAAACACAAAACAATATACAGGACTTCACACCTTTTGGGGGGATCAGTTAAATACGAAAATGCAGTGAAAAATACAGGAAAAAGTACTGTAAGAAAAGTTCTCTCACAAAGTCAATTTGTACAGGCACAGACAATTATTTCCTAATTTCTGTTCTGTCTACCATTGCAAGGTCCTGAATAGTCTAACGTACCTGAGCTATGGGAAGAAAGTCAAATGGATTGTGATTATTGTCCTGGAACAGATTGAACGGGCTACGAGAGAAGAGTGTGAGCTGAATCCCATTTCACACACAAGCCTTGTGTGTTTCTGTTGCTGAAAGGGAGGGAGGTGAAATCTACAAAAAGGGATCTAAAGAAGGGCTTCAGGCAAACTTGCTTTAATCCAACCAATATCAACAGTATGGCTTATTACCTTTGTCTGGATCAAAAGAAAAACACTATACAGAGTGGGTAGACTATAGACATCTGTCTCTATTGTTTTTAAACTCAGTTAGACTATTGTGTATTATTTCATCAACATCTAAATGTGGTTCAAAAGACCTGCTGATGAGTTCACGGACTGTATGTGATTTGTACTAATCATAACAGTGGATTTTTTGCTTGATCATTTAATATTATTCATTTTAAATAAGCATATTATTTTATGGATAATTTGATAGACTGTAAATGTATTTTTTTTGTTCACATGAGGCAACAAAAAGGATGTGATTAATGGTACAAAACATTAACAACAAACAAACACAAAAAAAGAGGTTAAGTAAACCAGACCAACAGTTGGCTTTTATGTATTGTTCTTTTGAAGTAAGACAAAAACAAAGCCTTCCATAAAGCATAGACACACCTTGCAGTTGTCTGTGTCTAACCAGATGTTGTTGTAATGACTGAATAAAAGCAGGCAAGCATCGAAAAATGTGCAGTTTAACATCAACGGCACGATGAAAAACCAGAGCACCTAAAACCAAGTTGGTTTTTGGATGACAAAATAGTCACCCTAAAAGAGAAACTGTGATGAAAACATCTCCAAAACCTTTCAAAACATGTGAATCATCTGCTCGAAAATGGAAATAAATCATCTGTGAGAGCTACAGCTTCCTGTCATTCAACAGGAAACTTTCACTCCCCACAGAGCAGCAGGATTATCCTCTGTGCCTCACGCTTCTGGTTCAAATTCACAGCCTGCGTCAACAGTCAAGACAGGTAATAATGAAATGTGTGTGGGTGTCTTTGCCAGGCGGTGCTTGCAAAATATGATCATTTTGTTTATTTATAATACATATTTGATATGGAATGTTTCAGTGTGAGACCTGTTCACGTTGAAACTGCTGTTTCTTAAAGGGGTAATTACTGCACTGTCACCATCTCACCAATGTCACAACCACACGTTCCCCCTTTCCAACGTCAGCCTGCAGGTTTCAGAACAATGCTAACAGGACACCTTGGGAGAGTGAAGTACTCAGAGCCAGGTGGTGAGGAGGCTCCCGCCCAACAGTACTGTTTGCAGCTCTGCCACGGCTGAGAGCGACCATATGTCTATTCTCTCCAGAGAGTCCGTCCTAGCGCAGGACTGCCAAGCCGTGAGTCCTATCCCACATATGTGCCTTAATACTGTCAAGCACTGGGTCTTCAGGGGGTTGAGACATTGC